TAATACGTCTCCTGTTAAACCAACTAATATAGTTGGAAAAACAAGGAAGTTATTGGGTACGCAGACCCCTTCATGGATTAGAAAAAGCAGTCTTCAAAATGAAATCTTTGAGGTCGAGAACAACTGCTTCCATTTTAACCACCAACAGAAAGTCAATAGATGATTGATACTTTTGGGAATATGGTAAGTTGAATTTTGAAGGCATAACATTTCAGAGCAAGTTTTGAAAGTGGATCCCAATCTTTAAAATCATATTCCTTTCAAAATATACCCCCACTAGTTCCTTACTAGTTCAACAGGAGTAAAGAACAAAGTACCGGGTTCTTTTGGCTAACCTTATTAATGATATATAATCTTCCTGGTATACACACTAAATCCCATCTTAAAATAAAGTTATCTAGTGCTCCTTTTGGAAGACTCTTTCAGAATCTGTTACATAAATGGTTGGAATATCATAAAGATGCATAGTAAGGGCTCTACTTTGATGCCATACATGTCATGCAAGGCATGTAAACAGGTAAGTTTGCTGTGTAGGTAAAATATGTGCACATAAACATGAAAGGAAAATATCACTTTATGGAATAATCCATATTTTTCTTACCAGTTTTATTATAATTATCTCTCTAACCCCTTTTAAATACATGCACATAAATGGTAGATTCCCTGAGATGGGCTTTAAATTTCTCACCATTAAATCTCAAAGAACTGTGCAACACTACTGTGTAATTTGGACTCTGATAGAAACAAAACATCAGAAGGTAAATATGGAATCAAAATAGAGCCTCTTTAAGGAAATTTTTTTCATAATATAGAACAAGAAGGATAAAAAAAGACGAGGAAGGACAAAGGGAGAAGGAATACAGCAGATCAGGTACCTATTTCTTTTCTAGAACACTTTTGTTTAGAACAGAAAAAAAGCTACTAACGTGTTTGAATTTCAAAAAAGAACTTTCTGTTGCTGGATGAACACTGAATTTCAAAGACATACCGTGCTTTTGACTCTTCTTACTGGCTTCTTGACCACAATGAAAAAGAAGGAAAAAAAAGAAAAAAATAAATAAAACTGAACTTGATTAATCTAATATACAAGATATTCTATGACCAGAGGACATATTTAGTCATAAAGGGCTTTTAGTGAATTCTTTCACTGTGCTGCTTACTTTTACATAATAGTTAGCTATATCAAAAGATAATTATGCAGAAGATCCTCTTTATTCTGAAAATGTGTAGTTAGAATGCATTTTCAAATCAAATATTTCAGTGCAGGTTTTGTAATCAGTAGTACTTTTAGATGCTTGGCCAATACATAAATTTGAAGGCTATTTGCTCTTACTAGATAGTTTCAGAAGTTTCATCTTCAAAAGAATAAAGTTCTGCTTCATCTGGGAGTTCTGCACTGTTTTTGTCATCTGTCCAAATTGGATAATACTTCCGTTCCAGCTCTCTGGAAAATGTACATTTTGTTGAGGAACAGTTTTCCACAATACAGATGATTTATCCAATCTGGAAAGGTGCATTACAACATTAGCATTTTTTCCAACTAAAAAAGATAAAAAAAGGAAAATATGATATCAGTATTTTTAAACTGCAATTTTCAGACTTTCAAATCAAAGCAGTACAAGACAAAATCGCAAAGCAGACAATGTATCAGAGATTTGGGGGGGCTGTTTTTAAAGATATTCTACTCAAACAAACAAGCAATAATTTTAACAGGCCATCATTTTAACATATGATAAAATATATAAAAACCCTATGGCAATAAAATATGACAAACCTCTCAGCAACAAAATAGTTGATGATGAATCTGTATAGTTTATAGTAATAAAACTTAAGCCAACCAATACTGAAGCCAAAGGTCCAACCAGGCACACAGAAATTATTTAGATAACTTTGAAAATCATTCAAACAAGATGGACAACTGACACTCTTAGTTAGAAATGGTTCTGTATCAGTTCTGTATCTTACAGAAGTCTCCTACTTGATTAATGGTATGCAAGCAATTCTGCTGGGATACAGTAGCTCTATCTCCTCATATATATGAAAGACGTACATGAATTTATGAAGTCTTGAGAACAGTGATCTTTAAGACATTTCATACAAGCAAGTCATGGAGGCTGATGTTTTTGAGATGAACAGAGATGCATGGAGGATACAAGGACTATTTAATTCCTAAGACTAGAGCATAATTTGAAGACCCTGCTTGAAGACCGACAGCTGATGGGGAGAGATGGGATCGACCTTACCAAGCAGGGCACGCGTGTCTTTGCCAACAGATTGGCCAGCCTGGTACGGAGGGCTTTAAACTAGGCAAGATGGGGGAAGGGGAGTGGTATAGTGGCAGGGGAGTCAGTAAAACACCGCTCAAGTCAGGATGCTTCCAGTGGGTGCATGCAGCCAGGGGAGACAGCATCGAACATGGCTATGGAGGATCCTCTTGCACCTCTCCTGGGAAGCTTGCATGCTTGACTGGCTCTCTGAAATGCCTGTACACCAATGCATGCAGCATGGGGAATAAGCAGGAAGAATTAAAGGTCCGTGTGCGGTCGCAGGGCCATGGTCTCATTGCAGTTACAGAGACATGGTGGGATAGCTCACATGACTGGAATGCTGTCATGGATGGCTACATGCTTTTTAGGAAAGACAGGCCAGGAAGGCGAGGTGGT